CTTTAAAAAAATAAATAAATAAATAAAATAAAATAAAGATCACATACAACTTCTGAAACCACAGTAGGTCTACTTACCTAGCACTGAAAATACTTGACTGATATGATTTTTGGATTTTTTGATTTTTTAAAGCTGACTTAGGATAGGTTCTAGATAGAGGTACTCTCTTCCCCAAGCAGCACCCTGATTTTCTGGGAGATGGACTGTTTTGCTGACGGCATTGTCCTGAAGTCACCTGGCTAGGGAACTCTCCTCATCAGCTTCTACTGAGAACAAGTGTCCTTTTAGACTTTTTCAATCCTCAATTCTCCCATTCCAAGTCTGTCAGAGAACAGAAAGTTACATAGTAGCATAAACAGCATGAAAAGTCAAAAAAAATAATAACTGGCTTTAGTGGCCAGAGCAGCTGTGCTGTATACCCTTATCAGAGGTTTCGGCTTTGTAAATTAATTCATCTGCAAATAGTGCACTGTCTCCAGATGCAACTTCAATGCTGGAGCGCTGGTTTCTAAAGGATTTAAGTTTAAAGTCAAAGGCTTCCTGCCCTAGGTGTTACAAATAAGTAGTGTCGTTTTCTTTTTTGCTCTGAGTTCGTTCCTCCAATCATATCCCAGTATGCAAATAAACCTTAGCCCGTGCAGATAAAAAGGAACAAATAAAGCCAAATGCTCTATCAGAACCAAATTTCTGAGCCTGTCACCTGCATTCCAGGAGCCGAACCAGCAATGTCATCCTCAGGCATGCCAGACATACCAGCCCCACTCACCAATTTGAAGATACAATATACTCAGGTTAGTAAAAATTGTATTTGCTGCTTTGCCTTGGGTTTTTAAAAACTACATTTATTTAAAGCATTAAAGGTCAATTTAGATAAACTTGTGTAAAGAGTCCTTTGCAAATACAAAAATAACAAGGCTTGCAAAATGCAGGTCTGACCAAATAGTAAATTCTAAATCATATCAGACAACTTTTAATAAATGTATTTCTTAAAATATTTCGAAGTGAAAGGAACTCTCTTCTGTGTGAAAGGTTCTTGTATCAGGATCCAGTGGACTTTCCTAAGCAGTTCTGTTAAGCTCAGTATATCAGCACGTATGATAAGAGAAGCAAACACTCACTAAAGAAACTTACTGGAAAGAGCCAAACAAGTGAGAAATGATTTTTAAGAGAAGAAACAGAGCATACCAAAATAACATAATTTTTCAATATGTTTAATAAAAATGAGGATTAAAATCAGAAGACTTAACTCTGATAATTCGATGAAAGCTCCTGTTTCAAAAAAACTTCCAATGGACTTGCATTATTTTGCGTATGTTGCAAAAGAAAGCGTTCTTATCTATTTCTTCAGACACGTTTGTTGCCATTGGAGCAGATGTGTAATTGTTAACTGAAAAATATTTAGAGAAACAAGAGCAGGAGCCAGATCCAGATTTCAAAATCTACAGCTAGGGAGAACTAGGAAATGGATCCTGCTGGAGTCGTTCTGAGAGTGTCTCTGAACTTTGTGTGTTTCACACGTTACATGCCACTATCCTGTCAGAGCCTAGAACTCCAAAACAAACAAAACAAACAAACGAAATAACAGTCTAACCGAAATCACTTAAAGTTAGCTTTATGGTGTGATGCAAAAAGTAAGGTAAGAAATGAACTATTATGACTCAGCCATTTTGCTTTCTGAATTAACCAATGAAAACCCAAGAGCATTATATTTAATGATAAAGTAAAAGTTCCCACTATTATATGTTTATTTCCTTACTTGTAACAATGGATAGTTTTAAAATCCTAAGATCTGCCACTTTTTCATTTTCACAAGCCCGGGGAATGAGGAAGTTGCTCAGCTGATTGGTTCTTTTCCTTAGGGGTGTCAGCAGAAATCACATTGTGCCTTTAACATGTTGACTGGCAGCTATGAACTGTATTCAGGTATTATTTTCACAAGATTTCATAAAAGGGGAAATTTTT